ATACGCATTTTATGCACACTTTTAAATACTAATTTTAAATGCCCTTCATCTATTCCGTATTATTTTCATTTACCCCTCAATTTGTGTGCCTCGAAAATAAAAAAAAAATGTTATTTATATAAAAATTAAACCCTTCTATACGCATTGGATACATCTTTATTTACCCAATTTATAATCAATAATACATAAAAAAAGTTAAATGAACGGAAAATTAAAACACAGCTACCAAAATATGGCTACCTAGTTATGACCACAAAAAAGACAATTAAAGGAATCAGAAGTAGTTAACGGTTGTGTGCACGTAGCTTAGATTAGCAAAAAAGATTTTCATTTCGTGCAAAATTTCTCCCATATTTTAGGCGGTTAAAATATGGAAAAAACTCGTTAAAATTAAAAAACAAAAATTAAAAAAAAATTAAATAATGGCTGTATAAATCCATAACTTTAAAAATATTTAAAGAAAATAACTATGAATATTAAGCAAGGTGGGATACTCCACACTTTAATGTTCGGAATGAAGATAACTGTTAAACTTTTTGGATAATATTGTGGAGACAATAAGCACTGAAAATGTATGGCATTATGCCGAAGACGCTTTGTATTTTAATTAAACAATTTTGCCCGAAATACAAATCTTTTTGGCCAAAAAGGACAAATGATTTAAAAAAAAAATCTATACCAAAATCTAAAAACGAAATTATTATTTTAACTTTTTTTAACACACATTTTAAAATACCATAGCCCTGTAACCTGCAAATATCATTACACTCAATACAAAAGTCTCTAAAATTAGTGTTGTCAACCTTTTTTTTATTTTTTTCGTTTTTTCCATTTTTTCTTTTTTTAGTCCAAATTGGCAAGTTTTGAAACTTCAGGGGAGAAAAAGCCTTACATCTTACCCGTCCCCCAGCACACAGCATAAAGAACAAAATGTCATTTAAATAACATCATATCTATAAACGTTCTTAGTAGGTAATGGATATGAAATATATTCGTTTTAATAGTTGAACCAATGTATTTACATAGCCTAGTAGAACAATCTGAATGCAAATTATCTTAGAGGACAATGGACAGTAGCAATTGATGGCAGAAGCTCCATCGTGTCCGAGTCATATCTTTGATAATTTTGTCGTCTTCTACCGAATCATCGAACAGTTAGTTGTCGAAACAATAACGAACGTAATTGCTCTATTTACTAATAAATGAACCGATAGTTGATTAAGTATGAACAGAAAATTTGTTTTAAAAATGAAATATACGAATTTTATTATTTTTGATGTACATTTCGCCGTTCCGGTAAAACAATGACGCAAGTGCAAAATTGTGACATTTTGATTTTAACATGTCATTAGTTTCCAAATTAGTCTCTCTATACGGTATAACAACGGCGAAATTTTATATTCACTCGCAGCCATCTAAATGGTAGTTACGTCAGTTTTCAAATATTAATGTTTTCCCCTTCACTTTTGAAAAACAATGACATATAAACAGTTGTGTATGCAAATTTAAGGAAGACATTACTTACTCCATGGTTAAATGTCGTATTTGCTATTTAAAACAAGTTTTTTACTTTCCTATCTGTATACAGATATAAGGAAAGTATAGGAATCATGATTTTTTTCGACCTCGAGTTTTCGACGGATTTTTACGTTTTGAGGTCCCCTGAATCCGTTTTGACTATTTTCGCGATGATGTCTGTGTGTGTGTGTGTGTGTGTGTGTGTGTGTGTGTGTGTGTGTGTGTGTGTGTGTGTGTGTGTGTGTGTGTGTGTGTGTGTGTGTGTGTGTGTGTGTGTGTGTGTGTGTGTGTGTGTGTGTGTGTGTGTGTGTGTGTGTGTGTGTGTGTGTGTGTGTGTGTGTGTGTGTGTGTGTGTGTGTGTGTGTGTGTGTGTGTGTGTGTGTGTGTGTGTGTGTGTGTGTGTGTGTGTGTGTGTGTGTGTGTGTGTGTGTGTGTGTGTGTGTGTGTGTGTGTGTGTGTGTGTGTGTGTGTGTGTGTGTGTGTGTGTGTGTGTGTGTGTGTGTGTGTGTGTGTGTGTGTGTGTGTGTGTGTGTGTGTGTGTGTGTGTGTGTGTGTGTGTGTGTGTGTGTGTGTGTGTGTGTGTGTGTGTGTGTGTGTGTGTGTGTGTGTGTGTGTGTGTGTGTGTGTGTGTGTGTGTGTGTGTGTGTGTGTGTGTGTGTGTGTGTGTGTGTGTGTGTGTGTGTGTGTGTGTGTGTGTGTGTGTGTGTGTGTGTGTGTGTGTGTGTGTGTGTGTGTGTGTGTGTGTGTGTGTGTGTGTGTGTGTGTGTGTGTGTGTGTGTGTGTGTGTGTGTGTGTGTGTGTGTGTGTGTGTGTGTGTGTGTGTGTGTGTGTGTGTGTGTGTGTGTGTGTGTGTGTGTGTGTGTGTGTGTGTGTGTGTGTGTGTGTGTGTGTGTGTGTGTGTGTGTGTGTGTGTGTGTGTGTGTGTGTGTGTGTGTGTGTGTGTGTGTGTGTGTGTGTGTGTGTGTGTGTGTGTGTGTGTGTGTGTGTGTGTGTGTGTGTGTGTGTGTGTGTGTGTGTGTGTGTGTGTGTGTGTGTGTGTGTGTGTGTGTGTGTGTGTGTGTGTGTGTGTGTGTGTGTGTCTGTATAACGCATAACTCATGAACCGATACACAAAAAAACACCATTTTAAACCTGAGCTTTGTTTCAGCGTCTAATGAGCTGATTAGATTTTGGGCAGAGTCGGAACATCTGGGGGGGTACTTTATAGGTGGTCATTTTTATATTTTATGGAATATATCTGTTATTTACGTTTGGAGAAGAAAATTCTTTAAATAAAAGTTACTTCTAATATAATTATCTATAATTTTTGTTCTATACAAAATTTTCCTAAAATGGTCCGTATTCGAGAAATTTGACAAAATGTAAAAAAAATTATTTTTTTATAAAAATTGTTCAAACAAAAGTTGTTTGTAATTCTCTATAATTTTTATTCTATAGATAATTTCTCTAAAATGGACCGTATTCGAGATATTTGAGAAAATGTGTAAATTTCGAAATTTGAAGAAAACTCAAAAACGGATAAAGAAAAAAACATTAAATTTTAAACTTAAGTTTTATTTCGGCCTGACGTGAAATGATTAGATTTTGGACAAAGTCGGAACATCTGGGGGGGTACTTTATGGGAGGCCGTTTTTATATTTTATGGAATATATCTGTTATTTATGTTTGGAGAAAAAATTGTTCAAATAAAAGTTACTTCTAATATTATTATCTATAATTTTTGCTTTATGTAAAAATTTCCTGAAATGGTCCGTATTCGAAAAATTTGACAAAATGTGCAAAATTCCGATTTTTATGAAAATTGTTGAAATAAAAGTTGTTTGCGATATCGATCTCTATAATATTTGTTCATACATGATTTTTTTAAAATGGATCGTAATGGAAAAATTGTAGGAAAAGTGCTAAATTTAAATTTTTCAGTATTTTCATTTTCAATGAATATCTATAGAAAAACGTTTCACGGTAGATGTATGTGGACAATGTATATATTTAGTTTATCCTCTAAACATTTATAGAGATGCTGCAATAGGTTGTACAAAATAACCGGAAAAACCTGTAATAACTAGATAGGAAAGTCATGTGTTGGACACATCAGATTTTTGTGATTTAAGTGCCCAAATTTGGAAGCGAGTTTGGAAGTAATAATATTCGTTTTTCGTCTCTCCTGAAAAATTTATAATTTTGCATTTGCGTCATTGTTTTACCGGAACAGCGATTTATTTACGATTTATCATTCATTTTAGAGAATATAAAATATTAAATTAAATTTGATAATCTACCCAAATGAATTTAAAAATAAAGAAATCTTTATGTATATAGAATTATATAGTCAATGATCGAGGTAGCGCTAGCGTATAGGTCATTTTGATTAAGTTCTGTACTTGTTCTAACAGATGTCGCGACAAGATTGCCTCCAACGAAAAGTCTATAAGGTTGTTCCACTAGGCTATCTAAATGCAATGGTTGAACGCAATGGCATACTTTTGCCTTTTGTAGTCTGTGCGTAGAATAGCTAATATATTTGTTTTACACCTACATGGATATTAACTTATCTACACACAGACTACAAAAAGAAAATGTATGCCACCAATCGTAACGAATTTTCCAGCAGGTTTTGAAGAAACCACTCACAAAAATTAATGCGCAACAGGGAATCTCTCGGAAGTAATGCCTGGACTCTTTGAATTTGAAATGGGAACAATAAATTTTTTATGGTAATTTTCCAAACAAGTACATGTGAAGCATTAAATGTTGCGCAATTTTCCTCTTGCTCATTTCGGTGTTCTCTTCAATTTCATGTAAAATTCCTTCTTCAAGTTCCGATGTTTTGACTTTTTAATGGAATCCTCTAGCCCTTTGGTCTACTTTTAAAAATCCGGTCTCTAGAAAATGTTCTCGGATCGGGTGCTATGCGATTTTGATACCGCTCTTGGTATATCCGTCTGGCTTCGTATGCATTTCCGTCTGCAAGCCCATAAGTAAAATACATGTCAGCTAATTCACTGTTCTTTGCGAACAGTTTGCCACTTTTTATCAGATTTTTACCTCTTACTCTAATAATAATTATTTAATAATGTAAAATTAATGTCAACTTTATTGTCTTTGTGAAAAGAAAGGTCAAAAATTACGACGCTTTACCCAGCCAACTAATTTTTGTTTCATTTGTTTTAAGGGGACATTTAATATGCGTACTTTACTTTTCTATTCAAATATTCAGTATTTGGTAAAAAAAAAGAATAATTTTTTTTAAAGAATCAGATTCGTACCTACTCCAAACTTAAAAGGGTCATGTCTCCCTAACTTTTGAGTTTATGAAAAAGGTTACTCAAACATTTTGTTTTGATTTATGGAATTCTGTACCTATAAAAAAAGACACTCAACTGATGAAACACTTTGCATGCAACATGCATGAAATATATATGGGTTATTGGTGCCAGAGGGTGCTTAGTCTTTATGGTTTAATTTAGTAAAATATAGCTTACCTTCTTTTCTGAATTCTTCTCCATCCATTATTCAAGCTGTTAATAGAATTATCTTATTAATATTTTTTCATATATATTATATATAATAGAAGTGTTTGTCTTCAATAATGAAAAAGTAATATTTACAGCCATTTTTCACGATGCAAATTTGTTGCAAGCTTAATGCAATACAAGTTTGCTGCAAGAAATTAATATTATCATTGACAAGGGGGGTAGCCATGTGTGAGTTGAGGTAATTTTAAGGTGAAGGGGGAGAAAAAGTCCTTTATATCTCTGAGATATAAAGGACTTTTTCTCCCCCTTCACCTTAAAATTAATATTATCACTGCACATGAAGGTATATTTGATGAAAGTTTCATGCCATAAAATAAAAGATGTTCCATTTCTATGTAGTTTTTCGTGCGTTTTAATGCAATTTAATAGTGAAGAATTTACTAGCGGCCATGAAAATTTTGTATGTATTCAAAGGTGGATAGTAATATCTAAGTGCCCATTTTAATAATTATATGTCTAATTTAAGGGGACGTTATAAAAAAAATCAAATCAATACAAAAATTAAAAACTAAGATATTAGGTTAGATATAACCAGCGAATATCAAAATATTCTTGGTGACCGCATTGTTGAAACAGTAATATATCTCTACAAACTTATACCATGTAAAATTAAGCATAGAGGCGGATATTGTGCAAAATTACATAGCATGAAACTTTCAACAAACTTTCGACATGAAAAGGGACTTTTAAACATGTTCATGATAAAATAAAATTGTAATCTTTCGATAAAATATGATATCTATAAATTGTTATATTGAGTCATAAAATAGGTCGGTTCGGCTTAAGAACTGTAGGTAAAACCTAACTTACCTACATACAAAAGAGCTTACAAAATATGTTAAGTGGTATTATTTTAATCAAATTAGGAGTTCGCAACAATATAAAAAAAAATTAATTCATTGCAAAAAATGCATTTTTTCTGGCTTAATTAATTTTTCGTTGTTTAAGCAATAACATCAACAAATATCGAGTGTCATCTTACACTTTTATAATCATTTATAATCATTTAAAAAAAATTACGAATTAAAACAATTTTGCAAACGAATGCGCCAGTATGCTCTGGTCTATATAGATAACCAAAAATATTCTAGATTTTTTAATTAATTACCTTGAGTCCGAAAATATTTGTGGCTAATAGACTAGACTGAGACCAACCTACCCCTCAAACACACAATATGAGTTGTGAGCCCTTAGAAACCCCTCCAATTTTTCTATACTTCAGAAATAGGTTATTCTTGTGCCCACCATTAACGTATCAATTTTGAAACTTTTAGGGGGCATTCAAGAATTACGTAAGCAACTTTCAATGATTTTAGGCACTTACTCCTATGTATGAGCAAGTATTAAGACGTAAGATTTTTCCATAACTTTTATTAGGTATCAAAATTGAAATAAAAAAACTAATAGCGTTTTCGATTCACCGTTCCAGACCTCGCTCTCAGAGTTCTCGAAAATTGTACAACACGTGACCGCTCGTTTACCGGTGATTCTAATCTAAAGTCGCCCTTTGGCCGATTGCGAGAAACAACCGAACACGATTCGTTATACGAGCAATTAATTCGTAGGAGGCCATAAAAAGACAGAGAAATCAGAAAAATCATTGATATCTAAAAAAACGTAATGTTACAATTTCTTTAGGAATATATTGTGCTATTGCTGTAATTTATCATCAGATGATTCTGAAGTTGAAAGCATTACCAGAATGGCTAATGATTATCTTTTCATAGTTCTACGATCCATAATATAATATTAAGGTGACCCTTAGTTACTGTAGGTAAAAAAAAGAATAATTTTTATTTCACGCCCGTTTGGTGCTATTGCATAAAAAAAATCTGTGTAAAATTTCAGCTCAATCTGATAGAGCCTTGGAAATCGAAAATATCTGTTTTATTTATTGTGTTGAGAAATATTAATTATATGCAAAAAGTTGTAGATCTATAAAAAACTGCATATTTGCATCTAGCACTCTCTCGTACGACTAACCATTTTCGAGAAAAACGTGAAAATCACTTCTTTTGCTGCGCTGTTTCATACACTCTATAACACAGAACGAAATTCTATGAATCAACAATAAAAGCGAGGTGTGACGTAGTTATTTAACCAATTAGAAAAGAGGAGATAAGGGAATGTGTGGCTGCTCAAAGTTATCTCAACTCAACAAGTCGACAGTTCTCTACTGAAATTTGGCTGAGTGAGATAAGTTTTCACGTCACGATGTGTTCTACCCGTTTACATGACAAAATTTATTTACTCTGGCATTACTCGTATAATATAACTGGATGTAAATTGCCTTAAAATAAACAGGTATTAAGTGTATTATTTTTTAATCTTCGTGTAGTGAAGTTAATTTTACGAGAAAGCGCCAAACTAGTTTTGAAAGAAGTGCTAATTTTTTGGGATAAGGCACGAATTCTATCGAACGAGAAACTGTGTACCAAAATTAGAAACTATGGAGAAAACTTCAAAAACACTCTGGAAAACTATCGAAAACTGAGAAAAAAAAAGAAGAAAAGGTTATATCGAAAATCGATGATCTTTTTGACATTGCACATGGTAACGCTTTGAACATGATTTCTATTGAAGAAGATTAACAGTTTTTGATTAATCAAACGAAAAAAGCACGGCCAGGATCCATGTTCAGTATTGATCTCGAGGAATTTCAAAGAACAACAAAAAGAGAAACAAGAATTATGGAACGAAGAGAGGCAGACGGGATGAGAAAAGAGCAAAGCGATCGTGAAGTTGAACAAATGAGTAAGTATACAAAATTTAATTATATTCCATACAGGTAATTTTTGCTTGTTTTTGTTAATTTATTTGATCATTAAATCTCTTCTTTTGTTTTTAAGTACAAACTGCCGAATTGGTCTCAACCTCAAGCAGCAGTATAGAATCAGATGTGAGTGTAGTACTAATTGCTGGAACATCCACTGCCAATATTCTGATAGAACATTCTTCCCCAGAAGATATAGAACTTGCATCCCTTTTATCAGAATCACCAAGAGCAAAAAGGAAGAGAGGACACCGTCACATATTAACAACTAAGCTATGTGCGGCTTTAGATAAATGTAAAATTTCTGACAGGGATACAGTTCATATTCTGATTGCTACTATCAAGGCATTGGATCTTGATGTCCAGGAGTTTATCATAAACAGAAGTTCCATTCATTTTTATAGAGAAAAAATACACGAAGAAAAGGCAACTCAAATTAAAAAGTACTTCAGGGACACTAAATTACAAGCTGCTGTCACGCATTGGGATGATAAATTACTTCCAGCATTAACAGGTAAAGAGATTGTTGATAGACTTTTGGTAATTCTTTCAAACGGCGATACAGAGCAACTTCTTGGAGTGCCTGTAGTGCAATCTGGAACTGGAAAAGAGTAGGCATCTGCTGTTTGTGAAACTTGTTAGTTTGCATTGCACCTAGCTATATTTCAGCCAACCAGCAATTTGTCTTTATTATAAACTTAAGTAAACTTAAGAGGCTTAAAACTAAGAGTTCACCCAATGGTATCTTCTCCTTTCTGATAACTATACACTGCACACACGCACTGTGCTCTTCTTTAACACATTTTCTCATCACTAATACAAATGGTTTGGTCCTTCTGAGCCTTCTTATTAGGTATCGGTTATCCAGGAACTAGAACTTCGATGTTGACATGATTATGCAGTCTTTTTTCATGGTTTTTTTGCGATGGTTTTTCTCGCTTCTTCTACTGTAGGCATTCTCAGATCTCTGTGTAGGTCTGAGTTTCTAACATACCAAGAGGCGTTTACTATTGCCCTTAATATTTTGTTCTGGAAACGTTGTATTATATTTATGTTAGTTTTACTGGCACACCCCCAGAACTGTATGCCGTAAGTCCATATTGGCTTCAGTACTTGTTTATATATTAAAAGTTTATTTATTTTCTATATTTATTCGTTTTTTCTTTGTGTTCTTTCCACTTTAATTTTATATCTAGGTTCATTCCCAAGTATTTCGCCGAATTAGAATATGGTATTCTAGTATTATTTAATGTCACAGGTAGGTATTATACTGATCTTTTATTAGTGAAGTTAACCTGAACTGTTTTAGTTTCGTTGAGCTTAATGCGCCATCTTTTTGTCCACTCTTAGATTTTATTAGTTGCATGTTGAAGTTTTCTGGTCGATTCTTCTATGGTTTTACCGATGGCAAGTATGGCCGTGTCATCGGTAAATGTGACTACTTTCACATTTTGCGTTTGTGGTATGTCGGAGGTAAACAACAGGTAGAGAACTGGTCCCAGAACACTTCCTTGAGGTACCCCTGCTTTAGTTTCTTTAAGCTTGGAATATTCTTCTTGTTTAACTCGGAATATTCTATCAGTCAAGTAAGATTTTAAGATGTCAAAATATTGTCTAGGTAGAAGTTTATTTATTTTATATTCAAGGCCCTCTAACCATACTTTATCGAAAGCCTGAGCTACATCTAGAAAGAGTGAGGTGCAGATCTTTTCTTCTAGTGTTTTCTCTATTTCATTCAATAGTGGAATGCTTGTTCCTTAATCCAAATTGGTGGTCAGGTATTATATTTTTACTGTCTATCAGTGGTTTCAATCATTTTACTGAAAGTTTTTCGAAAAGTTTAGATAAAACTGATAACAGGGATATAGGTCTATAGGACTTAATTTGGTAATTTTCCAGGTTTGGGTATCATTATAATTTCAGCGACTTTCCAGATACTAGGTACATGCTCTAGTCGAAATACAGCGTTTATTATATTAGAAAGTTTAACCACAGCTTTTCTTGACAATTGTTTTAGTATTTCACCTGTAATCAGATCATACCCTGGTGCTTTCTTAGAATTAATATTTTCATTGATTTCCTTAGCTACCTCTTTAGGCATTACCCTAGGAATTTCTACTATGTTTGTGTTCTCTTGTTTTATTAAATTGAGTCCTTGTTCATTCGGTTTTTCGAGATGATCTGCAGAGATGTCAGCTTTTTGTTTATTTGATCTTGCTCAGTTTCCGTTGTCTTCTTTAATTGGACGTTTAAGTTTTTTAGTCGCTTTCCACAGAGATAATCAGTATTTTTATCGTTCGTTAATTTTCTGAGATATGTGTCTATTGATTCATTTTTAATAGTGAATATTTCTCGTTTTAGTTGTTGAGTTAGTCTGTTGAGAACTACTTTATCTTCAGGGAATCTGGTAATTTGCCATTTTTTTCTTGCCTTTCTCTTCTTATTTATTAGTTCTTTTATTTATTTATCTAGGGTATGAATTGCCTACGTTTTTTCTTGTAATTTCTGGTGTATTGTTCCATGATGATTGCTGTATGTCAATGACAAAATTTTCCGGCTCGTACTCTAGTTGTTCTTAGTTGTGCACTTAGTTCGATTCTATTACTTAATTCAATTTTAAAACTCACCCAGTCTGTCTTTGTATTACACAGTGTGGGGTGGTGTGGGTCTAATTTATTTTTGGGTTATATTTTCGCTTAGTATCATTATCACTGGGGAATGATCTGAGTCTAAGTGAAAGTTTTCTTCTATTTTAATAAAGTTTCCGGGTATTTTTCTAGTGATGTAAAAGTCCAGTAAGTCAGGTATTTTATTTCTGTCGGTTGGCCAATAGGTTGGTTTTCCTGTTGACTGGTAGTCACACCCAATTTCACTTGCAGCTGCATGCAATTCCTTACCTTTGATGGTTGTTAATCTCGAGCCCCAGATGATATTTTTGGCATTAAAATCACCTTCCAAGATAAAATTTTCTCCCATTTGTCGTAACAGTTCTCTGTAATTTTCTTTTTTCAAATTATGTCGTGGTGAGATATATATTGCTCAGACTGTAAAACTGTGTTTATTCGTTTTTATGTTAACTGCTGTTACCTGGATTTCTTCTGTTCCTATTTTATTCTCATCCTAATGGTTAATATATTCTTTTATTATTACGGCGCTTCCACCTCTAACAGTATCCGAGGGATGTATAATACTATAGACTTTGTATCCTTTAATTTGTATATAGCTTTGTTTTGTTAAAAAATGCGTTTCTAAAAGTAGACAGATATCTATATTTTGTTTTATTAGGAAGACCTGTAGCTCTTCTTGATGGTCAAGGAGTCCATTGGCATTCCATATTACAATTATTAAGTCTTTACGCTCCATTCGTCCGTATTCGAGAAAATTTACAAAATGTAAAAAATTTATTTTTTATAAAAATTGTTTAAATAAAAGTTGTTTGTAATATAATTCTCTATAATTTTTATCCCATACATAATTTCTCTAAAATGGACCGTATTCGAGATATTTGAGAAAATGTATAAATTTCGAATTTTGAAGAAAACTCAAAAACGGATAAAGGAAGAAACATTAAATTTTAAACTTAAGTTTTATTTCGGTCTGACGTTAAATGATTAGATTTTAGACAAAGTCGGAACATCTAGCGGATACTTTATGGGAGGCCGTTTTTATATTTTATGGAATATAATATGTTATTTACGTTTGGAGAAGAAAATATTTCAAATAAAAGTTACTTCTAATATTATTATCTATAATTTTTGTTTTATGCCAAATTTTCCTGAAACGCTCCTTATTCGAGAAATTTGACAAAATGTTTAAAATTCTGATTTCTAAGAAAATTGTTTAACTAAAAGTTGTTTGCGATATCGATCTCTATAATTTTTGTTTATACATGATTTTTCTAAAATGGACGGTAATGGAAAAATTGGAGGAAAAGTGCTAAATTTTAATTTTTCAGTTTTGTTTTCAATGAATATCTGTAGAAAAATGTTACGAGTTAGATGAATGTGGAAAATGTACATATTTAGTTTATCCTTCAAACATTTATAGAGGTGCTACAATAGGTTGTACAAAATAACCGGAAAAAGCCTATAATAACTAGATAAGAAAGTCATGTGTTGGACAAATCAGATTTTTATTGTGTGTATATCGAAGCATGGTTTTGTGCGCCTTCTGCTGCAAAAGCACCGTATCAAGATTTTAGGGTTCTTTCAAAACTTTTTGCATATCAAGCTATCGATCGTGATATCTCTCATGTTGCATTACAAAAGCTAAGCAATCATTTATGGTATTTGAGCCCTGAAGTTGTCGCATTAGCTTTGTTTGATCCAAATTTGCCATTTGAATCGAAAATAAAAATGGTCAATGCTAAACAGAATTATCAATCAAAAATGAGAAGTGAATATAAATACAAATCGATGAAATCCCACAAATTTTCAACGACGGAATTGAACAATTCGTTTCCTCCGAAACTGGAAAATGTTTCAATAGATTTGACTTAAATGATGAATTCCTTATGACAGATTCGTCGACGTGGCATCAAAATAAATGTTTTCTAAAAGGTCTGTAATTAGTGAATAAACTGAAAGTTGTAAATGATTCGGCTGAGAGAGGGGTGAAGCTTATGAAAGATTATAATAAAATATTTACGAAAAACGAAAACCAAAAAAGAATGTGCTTCAGATTTTAAGTGAATATTGCCGATAATTATCTCTGCGTCAAGATTTGTAGTAAAAAAAAGATTTTTACATTTTTTTATAGATTTACAACTTTTATATAACACTTTTTTTCATATATTTATGATTTAACAAAATAAATAAATAAAATGTAATTTTTTTTGTTTTTTTTATTTTTCGATTTTCATGGTCCTTGAGGCACCCCTTTCCTTTATCCGATTGATCTAAAAAAAAATTCAAACTTTAAAAAATAAGGGGACCCTAACATATTGATATTATGATAACAAACAAAAACAAATCTTAAGAGCAAACATGACGGGCGCTCCTCCGCCAAAAATCAATTTTACATTTGAGGCAGTTAAAAAAAAATGTAAAAAAAAATGGTTCAGGCCAATCGTTTTAAAAATGAACCAAGAATGACGCTAAACCGCAAAAAACTTATATTTTTAAAGAAAAACAACAAAAATTTCAACTTTTTAACAAATTTAATTTTTTGGCTCTTTAGCGTCATTCTATAACAAATATCTTAATTATTTTCTAAATAACTTTTTTTGAAAAAGATTACCAATTTTAAACAGGACCGAAGATTAACATAGTTTTCATTCCGATACTAATTCTATTAAAACAATGATACCAGTGAATATGGCAACGCTGCTAATCTATGAAGCCCGTGGTTAAAAGGGTAGCTGCTGTTTAGTTAAATTTGTTAATTCCTGTGTCGAAAAATAGGTAGTTGTTTTTGAAGAGGTGCGAAATTATTGTGATCGTCTTAGTTTGTTGTTGAGGCGTTGTTAGGTTTTTGTTTAATTTAGTTTTTAGTTAATTTATGAAATGAAAAATTCTGGAAGGCAAAAATACACAGCTGAC